AAACATTATTAAACATTTTTCTCTTATAATTAGTTCTTTTATCCACACCCAACGTTATTACACCACTGAAAAGAAATGGCATCCCCCCTGGTAGTACAAAGGAGTCTAAATTGTTTTCACTTTTGAACTTGAGAGTAAGATGAGCCTAATTCCAAAATTCCAAACGAACTGGAAAACAGTAAAAAAAAGTTCAGACCCAAAGCGCTCCATTGAGTAAATATTCCGTACAAAATGCCAACCATATGAATTATTAACACAATGAAACTTCTAAATAATTTTTTGAATAAGTAATTTTTTTTTGTATTGTGACTTAGTATAGTAAGGCAAAACGACCGCAAATTGAATATTTTTGAGCGCAATCACTTATGGTCCGTCTCCTTTGCACGAATTCGTACGGCGAATCTGTTCGCAAAGTGCGCAAACAAAATTATTGCGACACGATTCGCCGTGCACGTCAGTCGCATGCGCAGACTGTCAGACGCATGTTATATTATTTGCATCTTATATTATTTTAATTATGGCACATCTCAGCTGCTTTTCGACAATAATAATGTAGACATTACATTTTTTTTTATTTTTAATCATGAATTTATTATATTTTAATATTGCCTTAGCCTATAATTGAATAGAAATGTTTGGCAAATGACAGTTGTCATTTGTTTTTAATGTCAAACCATGCCTTAAATATTTTAAAGGTCAAATAATGATAAGCGTTTTTTTGTAATTTTTTCCTTTTATTTCTACAATCTAACTATATTTCTATGAATCAAAACACCTTGAAAATTTTCCGAACAAACTTCAGGAAGATTCATTAAAATCCGAATTATAGTTTAGGAGGATTAATGAAACTTACATTGTTACAGAAGAATTTTATATATAAGATATGTGTGTGTGTGTGTGTGTGTGTGTGTGTGTGTGTGTGTATGAAAGGGAAGTATTCTGTAGCTGTCCAAATTGATTACGTTCATTTTTGGACATTGTACATATGCTGGGCATTTCTTAAGCAAAACAGAACTGTAAAAATGTATGTATGGGGGCATCAAAAATGTATAAATGCTAGGCTTGCACTGAATACTTTATTGTTACATTTTTATGTTATTTAATATGAATCATTCAATGGTAAAACACATGTGTTGTATCTACATACAATAAAGTCATTTATTATATTTAATCTAAGCATTTCGAAATAAAGAGCTATCATAGGCTCTTTATGAAAAAATATACAAACAATATTTTTGATCAATTTTTTTTATTTATTTTATCATGAGTAGTTTTTATTATTATTCATTTGGTTATAACGAATTGATCATTTTTAATAACCATTTTTAACTTTCCGAAGAAGTTCATATCTTCTCATAAAAAAATCCGGTGATCGGATTTTTTCGGCGTTCCAAGCCACTTGAATCGAATGAGACCTTTGAGAATGAGACCAAATTTGGAATAAGTCTGGGTGTGTGTATGTGAACAGATTTTTTCCTGTAAATCGACGTTTTCTCTAAAACGGCTTGACCGATTTAAAAAATTTAAAAACCATTCGATGTATCTCGATGATCGCTCGCGACGATCGGCTTAGCCGTTTCTTTATAAATAGCAGAAAAGTGAAAAAAAAATTGTTCACTTTTTAGTCCGCAATTCTGAATCTATTTTGAAAATTTAAAAATCGTTCGAAAGATATTGGTTGAGAATCATGCTGATTAGTTTTTGGTAATGATCGGTAGTTTTCTTGTAAGTGTTAAAAAAAATTTTTGACGTTTTTTATGATTTTTTTTATGGTAGATACCCTATTATAGTGTAGTAAACGGAGCGTTTTGGGTCTGAATTTTTTTCTCAAGTTCAAAAGTGAAAACAATTCGGGTTCCGCCACCAACCCCCGGGGGGATGACACCCCATTTCAATTGTGTAATTACATTTTTTCAAAATACCGTCGGAAATCAATAGAAGAACTAATTATAAGAAAAAAATAGTTTTCAAAAAAACTAATACTTTTCAAGGTTCTGGCCACTACAGATTCATATATTTTTGGCATTTTTAATCGTTTTTTTGCAAATATCTCCTAAAATATACATTTTAACGAAAATTATGTAATGAACAAAATAATGTCAATGAAAATCTTAATAAATCGGTGTTTCATAAAGTGTTCTAGGAATAATATTAAGCAAGATTTGAAAGAGCAAAGTCGTTTTTTATTTTGTTCAAGATTTAATTGTTGTATTTAAAGCCATCTAGTGGCAAGGTTTTACATTTTATGCTTTTCGGTGAAATTGGGATTTATAGTGCTCAACATAAGCTTTAAAATGAGTGCTGTTACAAGTTTTTTGCATGTGAAATGAGTGAGATATCATGCAAATAAGGAGAATATACGATGTTTTTTTCTTTTAAATCATATGGTTTAATTTCCACTATAATTAAAGTAATTCACATTCCATCTAGAATTCACTTCATTATAGACATCTTGATGGATTCTAGCAGATTCACTACTTTAATACAAACTATTTTCAAAAAACTCACGATTTTATAAAAACTTTTTTTTTCCGATTTTTTCCAAAATCGAAATTATTTTCATTATATCTCTAATAGAATAAAAGATACGTATAAAAGCATATAGATGAAAATCAAAGAGATCTTTCTGACTTATTATTGTATTTTATTATTTTTCTTTCACACAAAAATTGACGGAGTTACGATTATTTATAGAGTGCGCAGCTTCGCAATCAGAGTCTCTCTCGGGCCCTTTAACTCTTCGCCGTTTCAAAATGAGAGGAGTTACGAAAAAAATATGATGGAAAAAGTTGTAGCGCTTTCATCAATCTTTCAAATGGTATATTACAAATTGTGATGTGGTCGAAATTAAAAGAGTTATGACCCGAAAACTAATAGCATTTTTATCGATTGTGTCCAGCAATGTATAAGTAAGCAGTATTTGGTGCCCAAAACTCTTGACTTGTGTATATATATGCTTATGTGTATTTATAATAAAAACGTATATTTTGTAATAATATGAATTAATTGGTTATTATGTTGATCATCCAATGTATCTATCTTCATGGTACAGAATTTTGCCAGGCGATTTATTTTTATAGTAAAGTATCTTATGGCTGAAAGGTCCACGTGTTGAATAAATTAATATATCACTATAGTTAAATGAAAGTTTAATTATTGCAGTAACAAGAACAACAAATATACGAGTTTAGACAAAATTATACTAAGTACTAGTGTTACAAAGGACAAAATATAACCTAACCTGTATTTTTATGAAAGCTGCCACAAACAACACTGCTGTTAGATTAGCTTCTTTGGTTCCAATAGTTGGTGCCATAAATGAGCATAGTAGAAGAGTTTAGCTTTAAACACAGATATGGCTTGCCAACATAAACATTCACCCAAGGATTATTAACAGCAACTTTGACATTGAGTAGTAAATGTTGATTCAGTTTGAAATAAATTATGATTATCTATGGTTTCATTAAATAATTTCTCAATTTGTTATCGAATATATTAACTGTTTTATTCAAAGGTAGTTTTAGGAGTTGAAAAAATTGTGGATATGGTAATTATTTTTGAGAAATTGAAATAACATATCATTTTGAATTTCTAAATTTTTTTTTCAATTTTAAAATAATTTTTTCAAACAATTGTTTATCAAGGGGTTGTTTTTAAGGGTCTGAAAAGGGTTAAAAATTTGATGATCAAGATAGAAAACATAAAATATTATTTACTTTATACGTACTTCTTATTATATCGTAACGAAATTTGTTTTTTAGTGTTTTTTTTTCAATTTAGAGGTTGTTTGCAGGGTTTTAGGGTTTTCAAGGAGTTGAAAATGATTTTATTGCAAGGTAAATGTATTAAAAAATATTTTTTAATTATATCCTATAATATTAAAAATGTTTACAAGCGATAAAACGGCTCAATGTCCACTTATTCATTAAAGGATCGCAACCCCGCAAGGGGGTGGTGGCGGAACCTGAATTGTTCTCACTTTTGAACTTGAGGTTAAGATGAACCTAATTCCAAAATTTCATGCAATTCGGAGCAGAGTAAAAAAAAATCAGATGTTACACCCTTTTTTCCTCTCCGTTTACTGCACTATTAGTCTTATAGATCATACTAAAATATTACGGCTCTACTACAAGTCGTTTATTTGAAAAATTGGTCAAAGTTTGCAAAAATTAGTATCTTTTTTTTGTCGTTTGTCAAAATTACAATTTTTTCGACGTTTGCTCAAAAACGGCTCAACCGATTTCAAAATTTTAATAGCCAATCAATGTATTTCGATGCGGATTATCTTTTTTTAGTTTGGTGCGACGATCGGCTGAGCCGTTCCTTTGTAACTGGCAGAAACATGAAAAAAATTTGGTCCACCTTTCAGCTTACAATTCTGAATCGATTTTAAAAAATCAAAAGCTGTTCGAAAGATTGTGGTTGGAAATGATACAGATTAGTTTTAGGTAAAAATCTACCGGGCCGTTTTCTTGAAATTAACTGTTCAAAAAAAATTTTTTGCCGATTTTTATGAAACTTTTTTTTGGCAATATTCATCATGGTCTCATAAAACATAAACGAAATACATATTAAAATGTTACGGCCTTACGACAAATAGTTTAATGTTAAAAATTTATCAAAGTTTGAGAAAATATTATAGTCAAAATTTGTGTCAAAATTTGTTTTTGTGATGTGATGAGTCGAACATTATCAATTCATTAAAATTTAAAAATAATAAGCTAGAATTATAGGGCATACAAGCACGTGTCTCTGCAATATAATTAATATAATTACAGTTATTTAAATGTGTTTGAGAAAATTCTATTCGAATTTGCAATATTTAGGTTTAATTGAAAGCTATAACTTTCATTTCCAAATAAACCGTTGGAAATTTTATCTAAATATCTACATTTCAATTTTGCTTGATTAAGTCAATTCTTACACATTTCGGGAAGTTCCGTCAACTTGCTTTAAAGCCAAATGTCACTTTCAACTTGTTATTTAATGTTATGTTTCAGAGGAGCGATGGTGCGCCACCTTTTGCGGAGTTTTATTTTAAATGTGCGGAACATTGTACAGATGGTGAACGTGATGAAGCTGTTCCTCTTAGTTTAGTCAAATCAAATTTGCGAAATATACCATGTCTTGCGTGCACTGATATTAGGTAAATGTAAGTTATTTTCTATAGTTTTGTATTGTCTCATTAATAATTTATTTGAAGAATAAAATAATAGTTTATTATACAATGATATATAATTATTATTTCTTCTCTTAGGGATCCTGTGCTGGTTTTTCCTTGTGTCTCAGGTCATGTAACATGCCTAGATTGTTTCAGACATTATTGTAGTTCTAGATTAGCTGATCGTCAATTTGTACCCCATGAAGAGTTAGGGTATACCTTACCTTGTCCAGCCGGCTGTGAAAATTCTTATGTTGAAGAAATACATCACTTTAGATTGCTAACTCATGAGCAGGTATTATTTGTATATATATATATATATATATATATATATATATAAGTAATATATTAGTAATTACTAATTACTAAGTAATTTTTGAACTTAGTTCCTTCAGGACATCTGTCAAGTAACATGATCTTGATTAGAATAAAAAAAAACAATATACTTAAGAAAAATAGTGATGATGTCACTATGATAATTGATCAATTTAATAACATCAATAAAAATTTAAATTTACAGTCGAATTGGAGACAATGAACTCGATAAGTTTCTTAGACATAAAACTCATACGTACTACGGATTTCAAACTAATAACAAATTGGTACCAAAAACCAACTAACTCTGAACGTTACCTTAATTACTTTTCTTACCATCCACTCAAAATGAAAATAGGTACTATAATAAATCTAACTGACCACGCAATACTTCTATCGGACAAAACATTTTGGGACAACAACATCAATTTAATTACAAAAATTCTAACAGATAACTCCTATCCTTTAAAACTTATAAATTCCGTAACTAGTAACAGACGAACGTACCTTTTGAATAAAATGGACAATTCCACAGTATATAACGATTTACCTGACTCAGAAACTCATTCTGGTGTAATATGTTTGCCATACATTAAAGAATTGTATGTTCCTTGGAAAAAACTTTTTTATAAATCTGGACTCCGACTTGTAACCAATTTTAGTACAACTACTAGCACTATTTTTACCAAAACAAAAACTTTTAATATCGAACGACTTAGAAATCTCGTCTATCAAATAAATTGTTTAGATTGTAATTTAATTTACATAGGAGAAACTAGCCAGAACTTGAATAAACGTTTACAACATAAAATACAATTTAAAAAATCCGAGACAATTCAAAACTGTACTTCCAGACCATATTTATACTTTAAAACACAAGATGGACTTTTCTAACCCGACTGTATTACAATTCGAACAAAATTTATTCAAACGAAGAATTGTAGAAGGATCTTTTTTAACTATTTATAACAATAAGACAATAAATAAACGGAATGAACTTAACACGCTGTGCGACACAAATCTCTTTTATTTAGATAACATTTTCAAATTTCTTACAAAACAATAAAAGCGTCGCGCAAAGGATTCGCAATTCGTTCCACACATGTGTAGAATCTTGGTAAAAATATTTTTTAAAAATGTCTTTCTCCATTATATCTTCAACCAGTCTACGAATAACACACTATCCATTTGTGATTTTTTAAAATTAGTATTTTGTGAAAATATTGTGTAATTTCAAGTTTAATGTTTATAATACATAGTGTAGTGCATTACCATATCCTGGTACCATGGATTATTAAAATTTTCCAATTTAACACTAAGATTTACTGATTGTGAGTACTATTTACTATTTTATTTTTTCATTTCACTCCAATTCAATTGTTTTAGTTTTTAATTTTATTTTTAGTTTCCACTGAATGAAGGCTAGGATTATAGCCGAAACGTATGGATTTAAAATAAATTTTTGAAAGAAATTCATGTTTTTTATTGATGTTATGCCCGATTATTAGACTTTGTTAATACATATGTCAACATCAAATTCAGAATCATACAATATATATATATATATATATATATATATATATACATACACATACATGCATATACACATACATACATATGCATATATCCATATATTCGTGTACATACAATTATATACACGAACATACACGCAAGTACATGTATATAGTGCATATTCAAAACATACATATAAGCACATATATGGATGTGCATATATTGCTGCATATATATATATATATATATATATATATATATATATATATCATTGGTCATTGGGAAAAAAATATTAATTTGATATATTCTACCTTTCAAAATAATTCCTATCCTCTACAACTTTTACGCTCAGTAATAAATAATAGATTACCCTTTCTTCGTAATAAATTCCGTACATCTTCCCTATTTACCCCCCAATCACAACAAAATAGTATCATTTCACAAAACCTTAACCCTATTCCTGAAAATTCATTAGCTCTCAATTCCTTCATCTCATTACCGTACATTGACTGCCTTTTCCACTCATGGAAAAAACTTTTTTCATCCGTTGGTCTGAAGCTAGTTTGTTCGACTGGACACACTCTCACAGACTTATACACTAATTTAAAAACTCCTACCCCTATTTCCCGCACGTCAAACGTCGTATATGTCATTGATTGTAATGATTATTCAAGCTGTTATGTTGGAAAAACTTCACAATTTCTCTCAAAAAGAATGCGCCAACACGAACTTAATAGTTTGAACAGGAAACAAAATAAAACCATGATCACCGAGCATGTCTCCAAATTTAAACATTCTTTTAATTTCACCAATCCAAAAGTTATTCATCGAGAAGCTAACACTTTACGCAGAAAGTTCGCTGAGAGTATTTTCATACAAATATTACCTTCTATTAACAAACGATTTGATTCGGCTTCTCTTTGCAATATTTACCACGATGCTTCAAATAATTTTTTCAATATGCGCAATACATCCTAACATTTCTTTTTTGTATGTTATATGTATATGTATATGTATGTATGTGTATATATGTATATATATGTATATATGTGTATGTATACATGTATATGTATATATGTATGTATGTGTATGTATGTGTATATGTGCATGTATATATATATATGTTTACATGTATATGTTTGTAGATGTACGAGGTCTGTTCAAAAAGTACCCGGAATTTTCGTTTTTTCAAAAAAATATTTATTTATTCGTCTACATTAATGTGGTCCCCTTCAAAGTAGTCCCCCCCAGATATAATACACTTATGCCAGCGTTTTTTCCAATTTTCGAAGCACCCTTGATATTCACTTTTTGATATGTCCTTGAGCACTCTCAGCGATTTTCTTCAATCGAGGAAAACCGCCGTCCTTTCATGGGTCTCTTCAACTTTGGGAATAGGAAAAAGTCACACGGAGCCATATCTGGTGAATTTTTGCACTTTGCAACACTTTATTTCATTTTTTACGCAAAATTTAATACAAATTCTTTGACTTTTCAATTCTTCCATTGTAAAAATCGCCGAGCTCAGAAAAACACGTCGAACCTTAGCGACTACCACAGACAAAGTAAACAGTGAATATAGCTGAAAATTTCATCATACTTTAGGGGCATGTATACCAACACAATAAAAAAAAATTTTGACAATCAGACACTCCAGACCCGCGAAATTTAATTATTAGTAATTCCGGGTACTTTTTGAACACACCTCGTATATGTGTATGCACATGTATATGTATGTGTATATATGTATGTATATATGTGTTTGCATATATTTTGTACATTTATAGGTGTTACATGTGTTTACATATATGTGTATATGTATGTGTATACATATATGCATTTATTGTTTTGCGTTTATATTACATATATATGTTATATTAATTTTTTATTGTAACTATTATCGTTCCATAACTATTATCGTTTTTCTGTTAATATCTATACTTTTTCTTAATAATTTTCTCTTTATTCACATTTTTTGGATTTGATTATGGATGTCTTACACATGTATATATTTTTACTATGTTCCTACTGCGCATGATCGTTGAGAAAATCTTTGTAATACGAAACCACTAAAATTTTCTCTATCCCGTTCTCTCACCAATGACGATACAGTTTCCACTATTTTCCGCAAACACTTACGCACACATTTTACTCTCGTACACACTCGTAATACAATTTCCAGACTAACAACATGTTCGTTTGGAATAAGCTTTTTTATAATAAAATATATCATTTATTTTAATTTTACATTTTTTTAAATTTTTCATAACTAGACGTTTCATCAATTTTTTATTTCGCATTTATTTATTTTTTCGTGCAATTTTGTGTTTCTGTTTGTTTTTCAAAATTTATTTGTATGGTGAGTTTCTTTACATTTGTTTATTTTATGTTTGTTTTTCATATATACTTTTCATATACATTGTTTTACTTATTTTTGGTTGTTAATCATGTATTTTTTATATTGTTTTAATTTGTAACCCTGAATTATTTAATTATAGCACTGAAGATGGGTCAAATCAGGACCCGAAACGTATGTTCCCTTAATAAAAACATTTTTCAATAAAACTGTTTTTTAATTATTGGATGGATACCCAAGAAACAATTTTATCATATTATTTCACCATCTGAAGAAAAACCTTTCGCTTTATATATATATATATATATATATATATACACACACACACACAAAATTATTGAAGGAGTAATCCTTTTTAATTAGGTTTAAAAAATTTAGATTAACTAATCTTTTTTTGTAAATTATTAATACAAAAGCCATAAAAAATGATTTTCGCCTAAGTCCGTATATATTGCCCACATCTGGCCGACAGAACTTCATTACAGTGTGTTACAAAGTCTTGTGAAGCAAAAAACAATTACAAATATTCTTGAAAAAAACGAGTGTTTTTAACAAAAAATATTAGTGATATAAATATATAAATTGTTACAGGTAAATAATTTTTGCTTCTCAATTTTATATAAAACCTTTTTTAGTTACTTTTCTTTACACTGGTGCATAATCCATTCCTTTATAATTTTTCTAAATAATCTGTAATAACCATCATTAATTAATGTTAGTCAATAGTTTTAAAAAACATTGTCTTTGACAGAATAAACCTGATGATGGAACGTACTTAGTTCCGAAACGTCGTTATTAAACATCTTTAAAAAAACAAATTGTTTTTTATTATTAGATTTACTGTTCGGAAAAGAAACATATATATATATATATATATATATATATATATATAGATTTTTTTTTTTTTTTTTTTTTATTTCTGTTAATTTTAACAATCAGATTACAATACAATCTATAAGTTAAAAGTTATGGTATTGAAAATCAAAATCAAAAAGAAGAAAAAAAAAAAAATAGAATAAAGGATATAATATATATAGATAAAGTTGTTCTTGGGCATCCATCCATTTGAAAACAGTTTTATTGAAGGAAAATGTTTTTATTATGAAAACATA